TATTTTGGGCCCTTATTTGTAATAATTTTCAAATATCGGGCCTCTATCTGTAATTATTTTTATTTTGGGCCCTTATTGTAATTATTTTCAAATTTGGGCCCTTATTTGTAATTTTCCCTTAATATATTTATAAGCAAATTTTATATAATATGAGTGTTGCTAAAAGAAAATCCGAAAATTTAAATATGACTTATATTTAAATTTTCGGGTTTCTTTTAGTGACACTCATATATAATACTTTTATCTCCTATACAAAAAATTATTATTATTGATATTAATTTGAACAATAATCAAAATAAAAAATTTAATTTTTTTAAACATAATTTATAGTTTTTATTAAAACACACCTATGGTATTTTACATTTATGTATATATTATCTCAAAAACTGGCTAAATAATCAGTGTGAAGTGCCTTAAGTAAAAATGTTCTATGCCCAAAAAACCCTTCTCAAATCCTAATCTTGACCCTAAAAATTAACCCTAATGTGAAAAAATTTGTCTAAAAAGTTTGTATAAAAAACTTATAATAACAGTAAAATTTAAAAAACATAATAAAAACATATAATAGGTACAAAACCACTATAGGTGTGTTTTATAATAAACGTGATTTATAAATTTGAATAGATCACTTTCTTTTTTACAGTATAGATATTCCAACAACGATATATATTTGACAAAATATTCATAACAACAATTAATAAAGATGTAATTAATGTAAATATTGGTATAATTGTATATAAAATTACTCTATTATAATAAATAATCTATAATAAAAAACAAAATATTTGTATTAATAGAAACCAGACTTAATATTTAAAAGTATTTAAAATGTTTGTATCTGAATAATTAGATTCGGAATGTCTTCAATAAACATATTAACTATAGATCCATAAAAAATCAATTTTTTGGTATTATCAGATAATTTTGCAGAAAAACAGTTGAATCCAGCAAAATTTGAGCCCAAAATATTTAATATATCTATATCAGTACTAGCAATTATTGTAAAGATAGAAGCAATCTTATTATTAGTAGAAAACCAATTTTGAAAAATTTCATTAAGCAAAATTTCTTTTGCAATCAAGAAAAATGATAAAACAAAGTTAAATAATATTGGTACTATTAAAAAAACCAAACTATAATATTGATAATTAGTTAATAAATAAAATAAATAAAATAAAATAACATTGTATAAAATTTAACATACCTAGGAATAAATTAAGTTTGAACGTCCTGCCCATTATTAATTATGAAAAGGACGTCAAGAAAAATGTCTAAAATTATTAAAAATAATTTAACTATTACAAAATTTTGGCCCTATAAATTCATAAAATATAAATTAAAAATAATAAAAATAAATTTATAATAGTTTCTTACCTTTGGGTTACGTTTTCGGGCTAAAGCATATATTATAATTATTACAAATGCAAAAATTGCCAGAGCAAGCAACTTATATCTAATTTCGATCCATAAATTTGCTAATATAATGCATATACTGTAATTAGATAAAATATGAAATTAAACATTGAAAAAATCAAAAGTAAAATTAAAAATGATAGATATTAATATGAAACAGCATACGTTTGACTTGGAATCCATACAGTTCATCAATAAATGTCATGAATGTTTTATCAGAAAGAGAACTGATGTATTTGGACTTTATGATAATATTTAAATCATTTATAATATCATTCACGCTAGGATCATTTAAAGGATCAGTTGCCTTATCAATAGAAAATTCGATTAGAAGCTTGGAGGGATCTGAGGGATCTGATTGAACATTGTGTGTTATTTTCAATCGATCATCCATGAAAGGAATGCTATATTTTATTTGCTGTAACAAATCATCAAGCAATTGTGACTGATTATAACTTGAAAAATAGGAAGCACCATCATGATTTAAACGTAAAAGGGCTTCTGTAGATTCTGCAAAACAAGACCAAAGATTATGAACGTAGCCAAAAAGCAGATTAGTAACGATATAGTAATTTGTAAAAAAAAATTTATATACCAGAAATTTTAGAATAATTCGCTTGTTCTAACATTTTAATTAGTATGAAATGATAAGTAATTATCATTTTTTTCAAATTAAGTAAATCTTGCGTGTAAACTATAATACTCACGTGGCGTCGTCACAATCCAAATACCCTTTTTAATTCCGAGTACTGGATCATGATATATTGATGTTCTCACAAAATCGTCGTTAGCGATAATGAAATAATTGCTATTAATCCGATTAAATGTGCTAGATAAGATTTTTTTACATGACAGGGTTGTACTGTTATCCACATTACAATACAAAGAAGCAGAATATGTTTGGCGTAATAAGAGAGTATCTCGATTAATAACTTGATATACAGAAATATTTCCGGAAGATGCAATAATCGGAAACGAAAAAGAGATATTGATGAAAGCATTAAATGATAAAGGTATCATCAAATTTCTTTCTGAATTTGAAGATATAATTGCAGGATTTTCATAACCGGCTAATAAAAAAAGATATATTATAGCATATTGTATTAGAAAATATTATAATAAAGATAGAAATTAAATACTCAGTCTTTATAAACTTGTTTAACATCGATTATAATTAGCTTTGTTAGTTTGACACTAGAGTTTAAACTAGTCTGTATAAACCATATAGTATTATTACTAAAAACACCATAGTCTCTCAATCCAAACAACCAAGCCGTCGAAGTATTAGTATACAATATATCACCATTGACCATAGTATCTAAATCAAATGTTTGCACATTGAATGTATTGTTGAGAGGGTGAACACCAACGTCAAATAAAATTACACCACCATATGGCAACGGAATGGTTGAGTAAATTTTACTTGTATGAAAGTCAAGTTTGTCAGTTACATTAAGATTGCCTACATCAATAACTGATCCAGATGATGAAAATTTTATGAATTTCATGAATTGAGTGTATATTGAATTTTGGTATTGTGCGCGTTCAGTATAAATGCAAATATTGCTTTGAAAATTGAGTGAATGAGACCCAGATTGGCACTTAATCGGATGCGGCGACTCAACAGTTATTTTAACATCGTAACTTATGTATAATAAAAATTTCTCAGGGTGATCTTCTTCTTTTATAAGTTGAGAATATATTAAATATCGGGGAGCATCATAATTATAAAATAAAGAAAAATCTGAAAAATTTGTCCCAGCCATAGGCATATTGGGATTATTGCTTAAACATTGATAGACAACTAGGCGCTTGAGATGTTTAAAGGGAGTTATAAATTTGATGTGTATATCTGTATATTATAGAATATTTTTAGTAC